TGACTTTAAAAACCTTATCTGTTTTCACTCTTAATTTGAATTAAGCATATTTGGAAAAACTACATTTGAAAAAAATCACAAAAAGTCATTAAAAATATCCTTACAATCACCTGTCTATGCTGAGACTGCTTGTGGATTCTGATAAGCCATCTTAGTTTAAATATACTTCATTAAAAGCTTCACAGCTATTGAGTCAACTTTGTATCTTCACATGACACACTGACTAGACGTGATCTGCTGAGTTTCCATTTAAACTGATTTTATGCTTTTAGCTCTGAACCTTCTCTCATGGGTTATGATGTCTCACTGCTACACTGCTCTTACATTAGCGTGCTTACAGAAGGAAAGGTACAAACTAGCATAGTATCAGTGATGTCCATAAATTGCTAAATTGGAATGTTTGAATTTAAATCACTTCAGCAACCATAAAGTTCAGTGCATGAGTATCCCAAAGTTAAAAATTATAACAGCTGATTATTTAACTATACTTTTGCTTTATTTTGTTGTGATCTAAGAGCAATACTCATGTTTAAAAAGAAAGACAGTTTTTCTTGCACAGTACGATCATCCACATGGAAGTAGATGCCATTTTTCTACTAAATCAGGTCCTAATTCATAACACATCTATCCATCAGAAATGCCCTAGTTTTGCTGTACTGTGTTACTGTCTATTAAAACAAAACTGTAATCTTTTCAGTCCAACATCTTTTCTTAAAAGACTGTCATAGGCAGGTTTGATCTTTACATTATGATTTTCATTTCATGGTAAGCTCTTCCATTTTTATTACTGCCTAACATGAACTCTCACTGAAATGTGACCTGACAATTTATTTCTGTATTTATTCATGTTAAGTTTTTTGCTCCACAACTACTGGGCTGAAAGTGTAGCATATTTACTGTAGAAATAATACTTCCTGCTATTCCCAACAAAGAAGGTCATACCAGCTTGACATGAAAGGAAATGTGATGCTTCATGTTTTTCAGTTGTGGCACACATTTTAAATTCATCATTAAAATCATCTATAGGAGAATGTTTATGCAAATTGCTTTTTTCCCCAACTCCCTTTTCTTTCTTTTAGGTCAGCAAATAGTTTACGTGTATGGCACCACCCTGCCATACAGGGGAAAAAATATCAAATACACAGATTCAAAACTTACTGAATAATACAATTAAAAAACAAAACAAAACAAAACAACAAAAAAACAAATCGGACCAAAACAGTGAGGCTCAGGCCTGTCTGTGCCTGAGCTTTATTAATGTATTCTTATCCCATTGGCAAATTCTTACATTTTTGGAGTATGGAAGGAAAGGATCCCAAAGAGATCTATAAGCTGTTAAGCTTCATGTTCTTATTAAACCAGATCAATAGCTGCACTGTTGTAGTTCCATGATGAAAGATGTGGTTGATTTTCAATTCAGTTTCATCTGCACACTAGTATTTCAGTTCCTAGCTGATCATCAGTACACAGTAACTATAGCTACTGTGCTAATTTCTGCATTACACATTTGTATATTAAACTTCCAAAGTTATTGGAAGGCTCAGAACATTAGATACTGCTGTCATGAAAAGACAGTTACTGAAAATTTGAATGCATTTTTCTGGTTAGAAATATCAGTTGCTTTTCCTTTAATTAGATAAATGGATTTAGAAATATGCAGATATCATTTGTGCTCTGTAAGTATGTTTCCATGCCTTATTGTATAGAAAATGCTCTACTGTATTATTTAAAACAATATAATATCAACAATTTGTAAATCATAAAAATATTTATAGGATAGTTCTTAAAAAACAAAGGTAAAGTCTTTTTTGAAGACCAGTGAGATTAGCCACCTATTGAACTTTCCTAGTGCATCAACATTTACAACAGTTTAATATATTTAACACAAGATGAGCCGTTGTGTTGGGGTTGTGTGCATGTTATTTGTTTAGGGTTTTTTAAGTAACAGATTTTAGCTACAAAACGAAGCATTTTCTGAAGCACTTATTCAATTCCTAGTGATATTTCTCAAGCATATTTTATTTAAAAATAATGATTTCAGTTACAAAGCATATATAGTAAGAACTTTCAAATGTTCACTCTAAGTGGCAGCATTGCAGCACAAGTGAAATACAGTATTTTAGCACCCATAGTAGGAAATCTGTTTAAAATCAAAACCAACCAACCAAAAAAACTCCACAGAAAAAAAAAAAAAAAAAGGAAGCACACCATGCAAAAACTAATTCGGCAGTATATGCGAGTTTTGTGTCTGTTCAAGTGGTACAAAATGTACTTGAACCACCTTGCCCCCATCTCTCCCTTCTTTCCTGGGCTCAGCTTCACTGCTGATTTCTCTACCTCCTCCACCCCAGGGGGACAGAAAATGGGGACTGTGGTCAGTTCATCACACATTGTCTCTTGTCTCTCCTTCCTCCGCAGGGGGGGAGCTCCTCACACTCTTTATCTGCTCCAGCATAGGGTCCCTTCCATGGAAGAAAGTCCTCCTTGAACTTCCCCAGTGTGAGTGCTTCCATGGGCTGCAGTTCTTCATTAAGTGCTCCAGCATGGGCTCCCCCATGGACTTACAGGTCCTGCCAGCAAACCTGCTCCAGCATGGGCTTCTCTCTCCACTGGGCCAAAAGTCCTGCCACAACCCTGGTTCAGCATGGACTTCTCATGTGGTCAAAGCCTCCTTTGGGCATCCACCAAAGGAGGGTGTGGTGTGTAGGAGGAGTGTAGGGTCCTCCATCAGCTGCAGGTGAACCTCTGTTCCACCATGGACCTCCACGAGCTGCAGGGGCACAGTTGCCTCACAATGGGCAGTACCATGGGCTGCAGGAGAATCTCTTCTCTGGTGCCTGGGGCACCTCCCCACCTCCTTCTTCACTGACCTTGGTGTCTGTAGTGCTGTTTGTCCTACATATTCTCACTCCTTCCTTCTCTGGTAGTAATTGCTCCCACACAGTAACTCCTTCCTCTTCTTAAGTTTGTTATTTCAGCGGCACTACTGCTGACTCTGATGGGCTTGGCCTTGGCCAGTGGTGGTCTGTCCTGGAGATGGCTGCATTGGTTCTGTTGGACATGTGGGAAGCTTCTGGCAGCTTCTCACGGAAACCACCCCTGTAGCCCCTCTACTACCAAAACCTTGCCACACAAAGCCAATACAGCCATAGTGTTTCTGCTTTGATTTCAGCCTCAGACTTTAACTTTCAGCAGGTGGAAATACTTTCCATCAGCAGGACACACTCTCCTCATAGTTCTCAGACAAAGAAATGTCCCACTTACTTATAAAATAATAATTTTGAAAGATGTCAATCTTCTAAGTCTAATTCCCTGGACACCTAAAACTTCTGGGTAGGCTTGCACAGCCACCAGTTACTTTGAGTGACAGGTGGGGCTGCAGTCTAAGCTTGGTGGTGAGGAGAGCAGGATCATGATCTGCTTCTGCTCCAGATGAGTCAGCAGATTCATCTTCTCCTGACCTCAAGGATGGGACAAAAGAGCACCTTGTCATGTTTAGCATTTATAAAGGACGAAAATTATTTCCAGGTTTGCAGGAAAGATGGTTCCAAGAAGAGATGTTCTCCAAAAACCTTGTTCCTCAATATCCCTTCTAGCCAGTTATGGTTGCATGAAGAACTTTATTAAAGCAAATATATCAATCAACCTCCTGTAGTAGTTCTCAGTGGTAGCCATTACTTTTGTACAGTTCTTAACAATTAAACTCAACAATTTCATGATCACTGTGGCCAAGACAGCCACCAGTCATCACTTCACCCATGAGATCACCTCTAGTTACAAACAACAGACCTAGGAGTACACCTTTCCTACTCAGTTTGCTTAGCACCTTTATCAAAAGTCAATATGTGCTTTAGGACTTTGAAAGGCTTCTGGAGTAGGCCCATGCAAACTTTCTGAAGGACAATAAAGACAAGTTCAACATCCTGCTCTTGGCTCAGGGCAATCTCCGGTATCACTACAGACTGGGGGATGAAGGGTTTAAGAGCAGAGGAGAAGGACTTGGAGATACTGGTGGATGAAAAATGAGATCGGTAACATGCGCTTACAATGTGCACAGAAAACCAACCATATCCTGGGCTGTGTCAAAGGCAGTGTGGCCAGGAGGGCAAGGGAGAGGATTCTCTGCCCTTCCACTCTACTCTGCTAAGACCCCATCTGGAGTGCTGCATCCAGCCCTGGGGTCCTGCGCACGAGAAACACTTGAACCTCTCAAAGAAAGTGCAGAGAAGAAAATAAAAATGATGAGAGGATGGGAACACCTCTCCTACGAGGAAAGCCTAAGACAGTTGGGGTTGTTCAGCCTGCAGAAAAGGAGATTCTAGTACTACCTTATTTTGGCCTTTCAATATTTACACAAGAAACATGGAGAGACACTTTTTAACAAGGCCTGTAGTGACAGAACAAGAAATTACAGATTAAACTGAAAGAGGGTAAATTTAGATTGGATGTAAGGATGATATTTTTTACATGGGGCTGGTGAGACACTGGACCAGGTTGCTTAAAGAAGTTGTGGATGCCCCATCCTTGGAAACATCCAAAATCAGGTGGGATAGGGCTTTGAGCTACCTGATCTAGTGAAAGATTTCCATACCCTCCACGTACTGGAGGGCAGTGGTGGTGTTTTGTGTTTGGACTAGATGTTATTTAAGGGTCTCTTCTAATCCAAAACACCTTCTTTTAATGAATTTCCTAGAACTCTTCAGGTCTTATTCCAAGTGGCAGAGACCAGTATAGACTTTATCTTTGAGTAGATTTCAAATGAGTGCATTGAAGTCTCTTCATTCTATTGCTATTATCAGATCTATTAAAGCATGTAACAGTAACACCTCTTAACTAAACAAACATAACTATAACTGCAAGTCAAGGCAGCATTATGAGTATCATGTTTTCAAATTCCTTGCCATGCAAAAAGATAAAATCTGTTCAGCAATTCTTAAAATAAGAGCTATCATTATTTCATCTAGGACTGTAGGAAAGGGGGGGGAAAAGGCAAATTTTACAAAACTATCTTTATTTTTTGTCTTACATTTAAACAGGGATGTATTTCATCTTTAGACATCCAACCAACATTTACTTCATTAGTTTAGACAGGAAAAATAACAGGATATAAATACAAATCATATTGGCACACCTATACCAGTGCTGACTGCTTCACTAAAAGAAAACCTTCTTCAGCATTTAAGTCAAGCACTTAAAAAAATTGCTGAAAAGCAAGTGCCTAGATACTAGTCATTTCAGCAAATAAACAGTTTTTATATATTTGACCATTTTAAGTCCATACTAATTACACTTTGTTATGTGTATGGAGTTCAGATCATACAAACACTGTACAGATCAAAAACCTCTGAGAATAAAACTCATCAGGTGTACATACCACATGTACAAAGCTAAAAATTTGGTCAAGTACTACAAAGAAGGATGTTTTCATATGAGAATGGTCAAGCAACCTACTTTTCAGCTCAAATAAAGACAAAGAACTAACTTCATGAGTTTGAAATAATCAATAACACAGACTGGTGGAATGGAAACCTTACGACCTGTTATACAGGTTTTGTAGACCAAATTCAGGTTTTCTACAACAAACACTTGAGATCATGAACACAAATAACAATGAAGACCAAAGTATACATATAAGCACACAATCCAAACAATAAAATACACTTTTGGCTTTTAAGGATAAATAAATTACAAAATACAATTAAAATTCTTGTAAATGCAATGATTAATTCAAAAGTGTGCATTTATTTTAATATACATTTTAAATGTTACCACAAAACAGATTAAAAATAAATAAGTATGCCAAAAGACATTTGTGGATAGAAAAAAATGGCTAGAAGAATTATAAAAAAATGGAGATAATCTGAGTTTTGGTCAATAAATCTGTCTAGTCACTTCCACCTTTCACACTTTTTCTTTAATAACTGGTAGCTAAACATAACAAAAGCATAACTCTGTCATTATGGCTTTAAAAGAAGCATATCTTTTCTGAAAAAGAAAATGCAAAATGGGCTGTCTTGTCTACAGAACTGTTGGTTTGCTCATATTGCAAGCACTTCATGGGACTGTAGAGAAGTACCTGACACACCCTTGCCATCCTATCTTACACTGCAAGACAAGTAACTTCCAAGAAAACAATCGTGGGAAATTTCGGGTGCTATGGGCTAGTATAGAGAGAAGTCTAACTCACTTCCATTGCATTTGTTTTCTAAATTAAAGAGCAAAATAATTTACAAATACATCTCTAACTTTTCATGGCACATTCATATTTTCAAATTAAAGATGATGTCAATCATCAGTTACCTTAGTGAACACACAGGCTTTAATACTGATTACACTTTAATCAGAATCACATGTCTTCTTTTATAATTGCTCTGTAGATCTCTTTTGAAGGTAATTCAATTTTGCTAACATTATTAGAAGCACAGCTTAAATTATACAAACTTCTGTATTCTTTGTACAAATGCTCTTGTAATTTCTATAGTACTGCAATTTTCATTGTAAGCATAACAAAAGCAGACTTTCAAACCAAGAGGCTACTGGAAATACTTTCTGTTCATTAGTATCTCCAGCATTTAGATAACTGTCAAAAATTGAATCAGCCTCCCCAGTATCTCTACACAGTGACCATTTGGCTACAATATAAGCAGTAATACTGGGACAAAAGAAGAAAAACAATGCAGATGTCATAAAATAAATCTTAAGATTTTATTGTTTTTCAATATGGTTGTGCATTCATATTTTTCTTCTGCATTTTTGAAGAGAACTGCTTTTGATACACTGCTACAAACTCAAATAACAGATTTATGACATCTGTCTTCATCTAAGACACAGTTGCTACTTCCTAGAAAAGAAGAAATTCTTCTCAAGTTCAGTTTTGCTCAAGATACTGTTCATTTCTATCCCATCATTGGTCCATATGTTGACGGTCAAAGAACCACTCCTATTCGACAATATTTTAAAGCTTTCAGAATAGATGAATTTAAGAAACAAAAGTTCAGTGCAGAAGAACCAAACCAAAGCACACAGGCATGACACTGTTTCTCACGGAGTCCTTGGAAAATGTGTTTACTAGGGAGGTTTTTGCTTTGGGTTTTGTTGCTGTTTTTTTTAAGATCACAAGACAACAGGTGAACAACTAAGCATTTTCCCATGTTCATTTGTTACGCTGAATGGTTTTCCTTTTCCTCCGCTTGAATAAACAGCAGCACCTGCAAGTGTGACACAAATTACATATGATATAAAAAGAAACCGCAAAACTAAACTGATTACTATATGTTTCACTTAAGTACATAGTTCAGGCATAGCCAGCACCAAAAAGAACATATTGCAGATGACTGATTTATTAGTGAAAGAAACTGAAGTAGAGATATTTTTTACACATTTCATCTTTTTTTTGGAAAAAAGTATCAAATGAAAAAAGCTATGACAGAAATAGCTACTAAGTTTAGAGTATTGATGAGAGTATCAAAAGCACAGGCACTATAGGCTGACTTAAAAATGTGTTTGTAAGAGTAAAGGACACTCCATTACCTGAGTACTCTTTAACTGGTAATATTCCAAGCAGAAGCTTGCACTTGAGATTGTATCACCTAAACTGTGCACTTAAGACAGTACTGTTGCTAATACAAGAAAACCTGAGCTTCCTTTGTCAACCAGAACTTGGAAAAACCTTCCCCAAGGCTATTTCCCAAAATTTTTTAGAACAAAATATTCATGAACAACATAAAATTAATGTTCTCATCCAGTGCTGTGATAACACTACTACAGTGAAAAATCACAGCTTAAGTATTAAGTACAATGACATTCTTTATTCTGCTTTATTACGCACTATATGAAAGAAACTAAAACTGGTAAATACTGTGAATTTTACTTAGCAAACAGAGACCATCTGAAAGTATCTGAAAGTACACTACAAACTGAAAAAGAATTGGAGGGAGCTAGGGACAGATAATACAGAGGAGGACTGCAGAAGTTCAGAAAGTACTTCTGAAAATAAACTGAAGAGGAAAGCAACTAAGAACACAAAGAAAATGAATTCATCTGAAAGCACTGTTAGCCTTATTTTAGGCAACTCCCAACTCCTGAACACCACCTTTAAAAGTAAAGCTTCCATTTACTAAAGCATTCACACTGTGCAATCAAAAGTGAACATGCAAGCTGTCTACCTTAACAGAGCTTGCCTCATGGAGTTCTGTGGTTTGGTTATTGAATTCTCACTTGCAGTGCTATACACCAAAGGGTCTTAAACTATGAAGCACAATAGAAGTGAAAGTATAAATGTACTCCATCAATAGCCTATCAGTAAATCCTTAAGTTCACCAAGCATTTTATATCACCAAAATTCAAAAGAAATATAGACAATTTAGTTTGGAATATGGGAAATGGGGAAAGCATTTGAAAATCAGGGAGAACAAGGGTCTAAAAATAAGGTTCTACAGGGGGTGAGAACAACATCCAAAGTAAGGGGAGACAGAAGTTACCTTCTCAAAATATCCAAGGCACCCTGTCGCTCAGTCACTGAAAAAGTAGCAGTGGGCAGAGGCAGACCAGAACTGCTCTGAGAGTTACATAACTTTCAGTGGAAAAAAACATTGGTTATTGATGAAGAGGAAGCCCAAAATTAAAATTCAGTAGGGGAAACTACATAGATAAGTATTTTTACAGCTAGCAGAAGTATCATAATGTATTTACTAACTTTAAAGTACTTGTAAAAGAAGAGACAGAATTGGTTTTGAAGGCTACACTGACTGTAACTGTAATTTCCCCACTACTACTAAGCCTTTTTTTTCAACATCTGCCTATACCTGCTAACACCCATTATCTTATAGCTTTGAATTTACTCGTAGATGTATGGACGCCAATTCAGTTTAATCTTTCTTTGACCCCAATCTTTTCACAAGAATTTTATATATGTATATACCACCAAAAAAAAAAGCATTTTACAGTGCTCCCTCCCTTTCAAAATGAATTATCCTATGAGTCTGTAAATGAGGAAATCCTACCCTGAACTGTGATGGTAAATCACTTTTGTACTTGTTTGAGATTATGAGGCCTCAAGGAATGCCTACAGAAAAAATTTGGCTTGATTCATAATTTTAGCATATCAGAACCCAGGTTACATAAGTAACTGCAGGAAGATGAAAGTATGGCAGACAATTTATATTCTAGAAAGACAATCTAGAATTTTAACTCTTCAACTAAATTTTGTTTATATGCAGCACCTCTCAAGTAGATCACACTTCTTAAATGTTTCAGATTGCTTGTATCCTCTGTGTAGTTCAAGGACACTTGAGGTTTTCTTGGTTCCTTACCAAAAAATTTTAACCAATCCTTGCTGCAAATCTCATACTGCCCTTTATTCCTTCTGCGTAGCCCACTTAGTTTGCTACTTCTCTTTCAACCAGAGAAGAATGGCACTATGCAATGAGAATTCAAGAATTCTATCTTTAACCAATATAAACCACTGCTTTTTTAATCCTGGTGTTCTAGAGTTTGATACTACTACAAAGAGCATCATTTCTATGAACAGTTGGGGTTTTTTTAATTATAAGAACTATTCAAGTATTTCAGTTCAGGGCAAATCACTAAATGCTGAAGACTCTTGCTTGGTGTAGGAAAATAAATCCCTTATTAATATATAATATATCTAAAAAGGTTAAAGGAACGTAAATTCCATGGAGAACTGTAAAACACAGGACTCTCTTGGAAATGCGAACTGAAGTACACTGAAATGTGTCTTTTTAAGTGTAGAAGTGCTAGACCGTCCAAGGTATATATGCACCTTCACATGGGAATAAGAAAGGTCAGACTGCATTGCCTGAAAATAAATTTTATGAAAGAAACATAACTCTGAAACTAGAGATCCATAGTGCATAGTCTGTCAACTAGTATAATTCATAACAGAAATGTAGATATGTTCCTAAGGATACTGTCACTAGAGGGTGTTATTACCATTTATATATAATACATTATGCTTGGAGCCATATTTAAAGCTACAGAATGGAGCATCATTAAACAGTATTAGGCTACAAATATATCATTCAATATACATACAAAATACATAAGAATAACTAAGTTTTAAAAAGTTTTAAAAATCTCTAGTTCTAGGAAAGGATTTTTTCTTTTAACATAAATCATTTAATGACCGCTAACCTCTTTACCTGTAGTTTATAAAACATTTCTAGAGTAGGCAGTATAATAGCAATCAATAAAATTCAAAAACCACTAAACTTTTCCTGTACAATCTAAAGTGACCTTTGAGATATCATCTAAGGTAGCAATCTCAGCATGTAATGAACATTTCTTGTCCTTCTTGAAACATCCTCCTTAAAACTTTTTTCCTGTTAAATATCCTTCCTTCTACCACTTGAACAGTCCCTTCACTCAACATGCTAAAGCAACTTAATTTGTGTTTAGATAGCTGTGTTTTTATATTTGCCATCTACCACTGGCAGCACTTTACTGCAGGATTAGTAACAAGTGTTTGCAGCGTCAAAGAGGATGAAAAACGCAAAAAGGACAGATGGTTTCCTGTTTGCCCTTCTCTGTCCTCCCACGGCAGAGCCTTTTGGTTATGCAAATCACACATCTCATAGAAGCAACTGTTCTAGTAAAGAGTAGAGGAAAGAGAGGCTGATTGGTCAGCAAACGTCAGGGTAGAACAGTGATCAAGTTAGTTTTCTCCTTGGTTTACAACTCCAGTAACAACTGAAATAGGGTTGAAAGCTACTTTTTTAAAAACCCAAACAAAAAAACAAACCATCAACAACAACAAAAAATCACCAACACCCAAAAAACAAAACCAAGCCACCAAAATGCCAAAAACCTGACACCTACTGCACATGCTTGCTGCACAGCAACACCATGAAAATGACATAAGATTTAGAATATATACTGAGAGTACATAAATATTCATCAAACAATGAAAGTGTTGAAAAACTGTCCCAAAACAACAAAATAAATCAATGGAAAAAAAATCTTTAATATACTGAGTACTGAAAAATATTCCACTGAAATGGCGACAGAAGAGCTAATATTCAGTTAAATTATATTTGTGTTATAAATAGAAGACATCAGCAAGAGAAGTTAGCTTTGTCCATATTTTCAGAAGGAGAAAAGATTATGAAAGAGGCACAAAGTGAGTCTTTTTGGAAAACAACATCTCCTTAACACCAAAAATGTCCATATCATAGACACAAAAGACAGTGATTATTACATTTCCTTACATTCTTCAGCAGTGTAAAAATCTATAAATGCATGTTTAAATGTCTCACAATACTTTTTGATATTAAGATTGTAACTATTATGTTAAAATGTAAAATTACCTAAACCTTCTAAAGCATTTTTTCTGAAAAAATATCTATACTTATGCATTGATGCTTATTATCAATGCTGGGGAGCAGGTGCAGGTGAGAAGCACACATGTATGTTTATTACTGCCAAAATATAAAACAACTTCTACCCCCTAAAAAAACCCCAGGGACTGAGAAAACTGCAGTTTAAATAGACAGTGCTGGAAAACTAATTTGACTGTTTCATACTTGAATAAAAGAAGATTTATCTAAAGAGTAGGCTATTGAGACTAGTTATCTCATCTGTAACAAAACCAGTAAAGACTAGGCAAAAGAGGTCAAGGACAGCATATTTGTCCATCACATATTTACATCAGAAAAAATAAACTTCTACACTTCTACAGCAGCTGAGCATCCCAGCTACTACGAATTCTTTTAACTTTCTGCAGATAACTAAGTAAAGTTGATAACTAAACATGGGTTGAACTGTGCTAAGCACTATTCAAAACACAAGAAATTTAATCATTTCTTGTGTGTACATGAACTGAGCATAAAGAAGGTTGTCACTGCGCTTATTCAAAGGGAGAGGCCAGGGAATTTATCCATGAACAGCCTACTAACATCCTTGCTCTTTGGAAACTTTTTTTTTTTAAATATATATAAGAAAATTGTATTCTTGACAGTAAAATAATAATACAGTACTCTACAAAGATGGCAGATTAAGAACTTAGTTCTTTTCAGTCATTACAGAAAGCTGGTGCAGAAATGTGGAACAACAGACACCTCCACTCACGACAATATTAACTACACATGCACATAAACCTTACACACCAGAACCTCAAAATCTGGCTTTTCAAAAATTTCCCCTTTTCTAAAAGTTAGGAAAACCATCCCTACAATACTAACTGCTATTAAGGAATGCCTGCTGGATTTCTCTGTTACTAACGTATCCTTCATATTTGAGTGCCCCTATTTTACAATAAACTAGGGCATATATCCTTATAAAATGCTATTCCAGGTACAATTATAAAATAAAACATGTTGGAAGTTATAGTGCCTTTAGCTGCCAAGAATATTTTTCTGTACTATTTTGCAAGTTTGAGTTTACTACTCAAATGCATAAACATTAGTTGTCCATCCCACGTTAACTGACATTAATATTTCTCCCTTTCATTACACTGTAATTTTAAGGAACCCTGAAGTTATGTTTTAGTGATTAGTTAGCAGGTTGTTAAAGACTAATACTCTGGTAAATATTTCATTTACAGAGACAACTGGCAAAGTTCAAACATTGGATAGTATTTATTATTTATTAGGTATTTTCTAGATGTTAAAAAAATGTTTTCCCCTTTAAAACAAAATAGTAAGTAGGAAAAAATATTCTAGTGCCCATTAAAAAGGTTGAAATAAAGTATATCACAGACTATACAACTTAAAAGCAAGCAGTATTTGAAGCTGGCAGAATAGCTCCTGAAGGCAGCTGCTTGTAAAAACAATTAATTTTTTCATGGAATTAAAACATGTTTTGTGATTTTCAAATGGACATTTTATCTTAAAGTTCTCTGATATTAGTTTTAAACCCAATAATAAGAACAAAGCTTCTGGGGCTATTTCTGCCTGCTTATGCTGTATAACTCACCACATGTTCAACACTTTCTGGCAGCTATACAGAAGGAGAGTAAGGAAAAAAAGAGAATCAGAATACCACACAGAGAAAGAATTTCACATCTTGCACACATAGCTGTTGGTAGTCAGAAGATTGTCCTAAATATTTCAAAGTTAGTTGAAATATCAAAAATGCATGCACTTCTCTAGCATAGCAAGACGTGTTACTGAAGGTTTAGCCTAAAAGTACAAGCTATAGAAAGTCTTTTACTTAAAAATTTAAAGACAAAACTAGATAGAGCACTGGAGTTTTGTCCCTCACCAGTGGCTATTAGTTTAGATAATATTTCTTTAATAACTATATGAGAAAAATATTGAAGCAGCTGAGCCCACAAGATCCAAAGAATACAAAAACAAGAACATACTTTGTTTCATCCATTACTTCTACTTCTGCAGGAGCTGTGATGGGTGCATTTGAACGGCCTGCAGTTGGGTCATCTGTGTTGAGTTCTCCATTTGTTGAGCTTACTACCTGAAATCACCAGAAAGACCTGAAATTATGCCAGTGCAGATTCACATTTGTTAACTCCTAAATCTTAAAAAAACAATAGATTTTTTAATTCCATAATTCTTTTTATTTCAGTAACAGTTTCTTTGCCAGGTTTTATTCCGGTATCCCCATGCTCTTGTCATTTTCCTTTCGTATCTATTAGTGGAGCTGACATTACATGACAAACTCAGTGAGTGGACTAAGCAAAGTAACTCAGTGGATCAGGTTTGCTCATCTCCCTCATGTCTCTTCAGAGTCTTAAGGGAAGGCACTAAACACTTTCCTGATACCAATCAAGCTAACCCTATCTCTGTTTCTTTAGTGTATTTATGCTCCTTAGTTTCTATCTTTGTATGGCCTGATTCATTTGTATCTCAATATGTACTCACTAGAAGAAGGGAAAACTAAGACACTTGTTAGACTGAAGAGTATAAATGGTATCTGATTTTTAGAACACAAAAACACTTACTGCCAAAAAATTAATCAGCTGCAGAGACCAACAGTAGTCCACAGGTCAAGATTATTACCAGCTGCTGCCTGATGGTCAGAGATTAATGTAGACAAAAGGAGCAGGAAGAAAAGTCACCATCATAATATTATTCCCCTCACCCTTCCAAGCTCTCCTCTTAATGCAGCAGTTGTATTTCATCTATTTATAGCCAGAACTAAGAGCTAGCCTATTGAGATTTGTTTCGTGGTTCCTTTTCTAAGTAAGTACAGAGCTTCAGAAGTTTGCTGCACTTAAGGCATTTTCCACGCCATATGCCTACATTAGGCTGAGTTCTCTTCTTTTTCACGTTTGACTAAAATAGCAACCACTGTCAAGAAAAACTGCTGCCCTATAACAAAACAAAAGAAAAGATATCTGAGATTGCAGGATCTAGTTACATTTTAGTCAACATAACTGAAGGAATTGAGGGAGATTGGGCTTTATTTCTATGATGATAGGTAAGTCAGTGTAGTTTCAACAAGGTGGTTTAAGCTTAGTTTCATACCACTGCACATGATAGAAGCACTTCACATTCAGTGACAGAAATAAATAGGAATTGTACTTTAACAAATCATAAGATGGTGGATCAGGCATTTTGAACCAAACACTCTGGGTTAGTAGTTTCGGTTTGTGGGCTGGTTTTTTTTTGGTTTGGTTTGGTTTTGGGTTTTTTGGTTTTTTTTTTAACAAGTATCTTAATATTTATTGTCATCATTGTCCAAATTTACTTGGAAGGAGATACAGTATGATCCCAACCACTTCACCAGGTATCTTACTGTGCAGATAAATTTCATTGCTTCTTGTGAAATGTCCAGTTGTAATAGTGATAAGCACAGTGGAAAATGCATCAGAAGTACTCGCTAAATAAGACAGGAGCACTGCTGATGATGTAAGGGTAAAAAAAATTTGCTCAACTTGTCCAAAGGGGTTTTTGGGTCCAAAGGAAGCACAGAATGGTTACGGTTGGAAGGGACCACTAGTGATGTCATCTGGTCCAACCCCCAGGTTCAAGGAGGGTCTCCTGGAGCATGTTACTCATGACTGTATCCAGACAGCTTTTGAACCTCTCCAGGGAAGGAGACTTCGCAACCTGTCTGGGCAGCCTCTTCCAGTGCCCAGCCACCCTCATAGTAAAGAAGGTCTTCCTCTTGTTCACGTGGAACTTTCTGTGCATAACTACATAACTAACCACAACTACAGCCTGCAGTAATCCATACAAAGTAATGCTATCCAATTAATATTGTAGTCAACTTTGTCTGCAGTCCTAATAATTCAGGATTTCTGGTCGTGATCTAAATTCAAAATGAATTTTTCTAAAGAGATCCTCAGGGATCCCACTCAAGGTTTCATAACAGTGGTTGATCAAAAACTGAAGCCTTTGTCTTTAGTTTACTCAAGTAAGTGTAGGGTACATCAAGAAATATAAAGACAGGTATATGTCCCTTTCTGGATGGAAAGCATACACAATACAACTTAGCAATCCTGACTATTGCAAAGAACAGGCGACAGTATGCAAAGGCATTTGCAAGAACTCTTATTTTCTTCTCTTTTCTTACACAAAGCAAATGAAATAATGTATGATTTTTTCACAAGTCAAACAGGGTGCCCAACTCTAGCATGGGTAGAGTTTTCACATGGCATTCTCCCTCACACTTCTTTCCCAGGAGCACCTGTTTAATTATTCCCATCTATCTCCTTGGACAGCAGACTTTAAAAAAAAAGGATCCAACTCAAGCATGTACACACTCATCACTTGGATTGGAAAACATGAAAGCAGGTATCTAAAAATCCTTTGAGAACCACCCCCCCACACACATTATATTAACAGTAAGGCATATTACTGTTATTTCCTAGAAAATGTTCTCCCCATCCCCAAAGGGTATTTAGCATATCTCTTGCAATTGTTGCATTTTATCTGACAAAGAATAAAAGGTTTCTTAAGTGCTACAATTATCAAACAAGTGATATGATATACAATTTCAAAGTTCTACTGACTGTAACTTAACATGCTAAATATGTTTTCTTTCTAATATTAAAAAAAAAAATTGAAAAAGTAATAATTTTGGAAGACAACTCCAAATCCAACTTTGATTCCACATGACTATACTGTTCTCAAAAGATTAATTATTTCCTTTAAAACTGATGTTATTGAGAGAACTACTGCAAATCAAGTTAAATATACCATAAAGCTTTTAAAACATTTGTTAATGAGAAGCACAAAACTTTGAAACTTTTCTTGATACACAGTGATAATTATCATTACCAGATTTTCTTATATGACACACGACAGTTTTTTCTAAAGTAGCAAAATTTAGAGGATGTTAAGTTTAAATTGAATTCCAAAGCATTTAAAGGTGACATGGAATTATCACACTGGCAAGATTGCAGCACTGTTTTTTGTACCCCGGACTTTTCTTTCTTCAGGCCTTGACAAATTTTTTCCAAAACAAGACTTCAGAAGAAATATATATAACTTAGATTGTTAGAATCAAAAATGCAGTAGACAATTTATTTTCCACCCAGATAAGCTAAATTGTTTTCATTTTGGACTCAAAGTTCAAAACCTCATGGAGACTTTGCAGCTGGCATTTTGAATCCTATATTAAATTTAGATTTCCTTATGTATTATTCCACCTGTCTCATACCTAAGTATATTCAAAGAGCAAGACAACAAAAATTAAAAAAAAAATTAAAATTGAAAACAAAACAGGAAAAAAGTGTTTTGAAAATGAAATTAATAATAAAGGAAAAACTGTTGGTTTCTACTAATTTTTTCGCTGATATGTGTGAAGTACTACTCCAGGAAACATTCTTCTTGTCAACTATTGTTTGAACAAAAATAGTACAGTTTAAACAAGCATCACCAATTAATATTTTAACTGCAAGTTTTCTTAATGAAAAAAAACATGGCTTGAACAACATTGAATTCAGTCAATAGTGGTTTTTAGTTGCTAATATAACTAACACATCAAAAGTGTAAACTTCAGTTGCTTGCACTATTTTAAGTGCATATTCCATTAAAAAGACAGTTCAATTGTTTTAGACTTTCACTAAGAAACGTGTAGGAAAAACGCCACAAACAAAAAGTTCCATAGTTTCTACACCTGTTTAATTTCAGTTTGACAACTGTGAATCAAGGAGTAACATTCTGAGCATTACTGGAAAGCAGCTTTAATATGAAAACATGAATCATGTCATACACTACAGGACACCAGTATTATGTACCAGAAAACAACTAATTTAAGTCATGCAAAGAAGCAGAAAATACCTGTACCGAGCCACCATGTCTGTCAGCTGCCAGGTGAGCCCTCAGATGATGTGGATTGGCTTGCTGTGAGTCCCAAGCTGCCCTATGGTCTGTTGACTGCCATTTTTGAATACATTAAGAATTTATGCAAAAGAAAAAAAATTACGAAAATAAAAAATTTGTGCATTAATTATTATTGGGGTTTTTTTAAAGGCACAGAAGCACTATACACTTAATTCCTATATAGATTGCACTTCTGCACTATCGACATACTTACACATGACTACACATACATTTTCATAGAGAGGTGAAGCAGCTAAAACTCAAAATTTGTAGTAAGAAAAGGTACACCAATGCAACCCTCTAACTTTGCTAAGGTAAATGGACACAACTATGAATTTCTAACATTTTTACCACCTTGGTCATTAGCCTGGTTTAAAAAAAAAAGTGAAAATGTTGTACATACACGTCACCAAAATGAACCCAAATAGATGACATGGCATATGGAAAGTGACAGTGATTAAAGAAGTATCAGAGAGAAAATGCTACTGACATAAGCTACATTATATCATAGCTTCAAACAAGCAATTTTTTAGGACATTTTAATGTATTTCTAGATCTGTAAACTTTAACAAGGATCTACTTAAATCCAAGGCAAAACAAAGAAAATCTGGTGTCAATTTTATTTTGGAGCTCTAATAAAATCAATAACATAGCACAAATCATTAGACAAAAACATACTAATGTTGATAATCTTACAAGAGCAGTTTACCTGATTTTTGGATTGTTGCATTCTGTCTCTGTGTTGATATGCTTCTCTGTTTGAAGACATTGCAGGATCTGAATGTACTGAACCCACTGGAGTAGGCTACAAATATAAATAATACGAAGCTACTGGTAAAAACCCCAAATTTCTAAGTCTCACCAAAAGTTACTGGTTTGTAAAAGAAAATAGTCTTTGAATCTGACAGTTTCCAATAACACAAAATCATCAAATTAAAGCAGAAGTTTCACTAGATATTTACACTAATATCAACAAGGAAAAAAGCAAACTAAGAATTACATAATTGAATGAAGTAGCAATTCTAAGTATTATTATAAATTAACATTCTGAAAGACTTTAGGCTGATACTTTCTTTAGTTAACAATTAGAACATTCTGATGAAACCTGACTAAAGGGTTAAAGTAATTCTTTATGCAACCCCGTTTTGGATTGAGCAGAGACGTACTTAGATATTGAGAGTATATCTGGAAAGGGAAAGAATATGAAACACTCAAGCCAAAAGATAATGTTAGAAAACGCATCTGAAAATGGGTTTGTAATAGCAGCTGTTTACAATTCTAATGACAGCCTTGAGGTGCACATCTCCTGAAACTCAATTCTGAACCACTGGCTCAAAACTGATCACACAAAATGGCCATTACATTACTAACAGCTTAACTGTACTCACCAGCTGTTTTCCAATCCAGTCATATTCATAATCAAACATATAGCCTTTCCGATCAAGTAGGTCTGTGAAGAGCTTTCTTAAGTAGTCATAGTCTGGCTTTTCAAAAAAATCTAACCTTCTCACATAACGTAGGTATGTAGCCATTTCCTCTATATAAATAAGAAATATACGTAATTCTCATTACCTCTTTTAATGGAACTAAAAAAAAAAAAGCATTTCTCACCCTAAAACCTGAACAGTTGTTCACTATGAATCTGTGAATTACCAGACAGAAAAGTTACTTAATAGTAATAATGCTCTTTGAGATAAACGGCCATATTCTAAACATATCCTACCAAGTGATCCCTCACTAATTTTCCCTTTGCATTACCTGTTTAGTTCTTCCATTCAACCTTCCAATTCTAATGCACAGTACGCCAAAAAAGTGGAGAAAGAAATGCCTCTACTTCTTTCCCCCCCTCAATTAATTTCACAGAGACAAGACTAAGGAAAAGTAAAGAAAGGGGTATACGACAAAGTATCTGCCCCCTGTCCACAAGGCCTGCTGTGGACAGGATTTCCTTTCATAAGAGGAAACAAAATCAGTTTGTCAAGAGCTATTTTCAGCAAATCTATTTTTCCTATCAGTGATATTGTTATTATCTTTCAAGGTGTTTATTTATATTTTGGTAAAATCATGTCCATGTTACGTATATCCCCTGTTCTGAACACTTTAGTCCAACTTTTAAAAAATATCATATTTGCTTCTCTCCAGTTTTCCAATACCTCATTGATTCTCCTTGCACTTATGGAGAGCTAGAAGTGACACCCAAAACTTGCAAGTTAATTTAAATATTAGTTCAAGCTGCTTCCAATTCAGCTTGGTTTTAATAGGGGTACGACACCGTATTAAAAACATATTATTATTAAAAACATATTAAAAATATTTGAGCTTAAAGGGCTTGCAAAATTTTATGTGCGAACATAAAAGTGCAGACTAGTTGATCAATGTAAGTATACATATAATATTTTTTTGTTTCCTTTAGAAGAATCTACATTTTAAGAAAAACAGCATTAGCTTACTGCTGCTCCAAAAGGATAATTCTTTCTGGGCCCAGTATTGTTTAACTTATCCATCAATGGCCTGGATGAAGGGGTAGATGCCTCCTCAGCAAGTTCACTGATGACATAAAGCTGGGAGGAGTGGCCTTCCCTCTTAGAAGGAAAGGCTGAGCCTGTTCAGCCTTGACAAGAGAGGACTGAGAGGGGACCTAATTAATGTGTGTAAATATCTGAAGGGGGAGGGTGCCAAGAGGATGGAACTAGGCTCTTCTCAGTGGTGCCAAGCAATAGCAAAAGAGGCAAAGGGGTGAAACCAATGAAGAGGAAGTTCCTCCTAAAAATGAGGAAGAACTTCTTTACTGAGAGGTGACCAAGCACTGGAACAGATTGTGGAGTCTCCCTCAGTGGAGATATTCAAGAACCATCTGGACACGATCCCATGCCACATGCTCTAGGATGACCCTGCTTGAGCAGGGAGGTTGGACCAGGTGTCCCACTGTGGTCCCTTCCAACCTGATCAATTCTGTGATCTATTACCATAGTACATAATATGTATTTGGAAGCATTATTTTATTTATTTTTAAAGCCAGATATTAAGCAATTACCTATCTCAGTTTTGTTTTATAAATCAATAAAAACATTTTTATAAATAGCAGACACTACCTGGGAAGTTTTCACACAATACTTCTATAGGGGTTGCTCGTTTTGTGTCTCCAATTTTCTGGTAACGTTCTTTTAATGTATCAGCCTATGATACAAGAACAAAACAAGCATCTGAAGTTATACAGCCTGCAGACAAACATTCAAAAAGAAAAAAACAAACATGTCAATAAAAGCTGATGATCTGAAAATAGGACAGAGGAAGATATCAAATCCCACTACCTTTAAACCCTGCCATGGAAGACTTCCTCTCAGAAAATACATAAACATATGACCCAAAGCTTCCAAATCATCTCTTCTGCTTTGCTCTGAAATGAAAGGCAAATATTATTAGAAAATTCAATCTGAGTAATTTTACAGTATATTTGAAAGGTTAGCTTCAAAATTATGAAAAAATTATTGGTAGGTGTAGAGTACTTGAAATCAAACTAAGCATCCTGGGGAGTTCTGGTGTACTATGCCCTGCATTACAAACACAGCTAAAATCAAAAAAAAAAGCAGATGCAGACTGCAGGTATATTCATCTCAACAGTACTTAAACCAAATTATCTTACTATAAAAAACTGTTTTTATTTTAAAATATTGTTTATTTAAAATTTAGTTTGACCCTTAAAATTGCATTTTAATTACAATATTTTTAATCCATTACTTGTGAACTTGAAACAGTTTAATAAAACTTTAATTGAATTCATTTTTTCTCTATAAAGCCATGGAGAAGACAGGCTTTTCCTCTGGGACCCATTATGGAATTTCTGAGCAAGTCAATGGTGGACTGAAGAAGGCTCAGAAGTACTATTATTTGAATAGAAACCAGCATAAAGAGGCATGTACATACAGCCTGCTCTCAAGTCTAGCTGATATTTAAGCTTTTACAGTACACAATGTCTGGCAAGGCTATAATTTTTCATCTGCACTGAAGCAGCGGCAGTCCTTCAAAAAGTTCACAGAAGGTTAAAACAGAAAGTAACAAGTAAAACACAGTTTCAAAGTTTTCAAAGTTTTCAAAGCACATTTCATATAGTTTTTAAATTAAATCCATTATTTGTAGGAAAAGTAAACATAATGGAGAATACTGAGTCTTTAAATTACTTGTAGAAAAGACATTTTTACATTTCCACCAGACTTCATTCTGTACTGCTGTTGAAACAAATGTTACACGTTGTATTACGTATTGAGGAAACAGGCAGTATTCAATTCTAAATTTGAGTTCCTCCCTGACACAAGGCAGAAAAACAAAATTATAAAATTGTTTTCACCCAGTATTTCAGAAGACAAAATCGCTATGCTTTGACAGCAAGAAAAACGGAGCAGGAAATTAAACTAAAAAAAAAGATTGTTTGATTTTTTTAAATACAGTAAAGTTAACAAAGTCAACCTGGCTCTGATTTGATCAATACATAATATTGTCATAAATATACTGCATCTGAAGAACAATTATTAATCTTCGTATAGATAGAACAATGTACTTAATATTCTATTCCTATCCCTACCTTCTCATCTGAACACTGAGTAAACACATACTAGCATGATAATTCTATATTTAGCCCATTACTTCATCACACATCTGCCAGCCATATGAGGTTCTTTCATGATCAATTCTTCTTCACTCATTTCCATGTTTCCAATTTCCTTGCCAACACTCTTCTTGTGCTTACTCCTCCACTCCCACTGCCCACTGCTGCAACTTTTCTCAGTGCCCTCCAGACAATTTGATTCTATTTGAATTTCTCTGCCAACCCTACAACATCTCATTTACTGACCACATGCTATCCTGATACAATCACATAGGGTAAGAAGAAAGCAGGAATAAGCTACAGAGTTCTTTTTATGCTGTAGAGTTCTATGCCTGACAGGTTCCAGCACGTGAAAGAAATGTTGGCTCCAGCTGCTGGCAGAAATTCTGTGCTCTTTATGAGATAGGGTGGGCATGCAGAAAATGAGTACTTCACAGAATGTTACAAGTGTGCAACAGACGGTCCACCTATGGGCACCACTGAGGCACAGCCCACAGAAATGTACTGGAAAGTTCTGTTCAGTTTTTGCTAATCCCTCTCTTTCACATTGATTTCTACAAGTCATGCTGATGAAAAATTAACCAACTCTGCTCTAAAAAAAAAAAAAAGTATTTTATGGAGGCAATGGCTCCTTCACAGAGAATCCTATCTAAGAAAGGTGAAACTTTCAATCTTTATCTTGAAATTATTTCAAATTAAGAGGATTTTGGCTTTTTGGCTTTCAGGGTCTTCTTTTTAAATGAGCTTTGGACTGCTGGTGATATTTCTTTAGGACAGTTCTTTGGGAACTACCATTTGAATTCACAATGCTCTCAAAACTCTGCTACGAGGAAGGAGACAGCGATTATTATTTAGAATCCATTTAAGTTGTTCCCTGACCAATTTGAGCTAATTAAGAAATAGTAATCAAATACACTTTCCTATGGATGGAAATCTTCAAGATGAGCTGGGGAAACAGGAAACCCAAAGATTATACTGCTATTATTCAAAGAAGGACCTCTGAAAACTGGAAAAAAAATAGCAGTGGACTAACTAGAAGACAAAAGGATTTCAAGCATCATCTAGAGGAAGAGCTGCTAATGTATACAGATGCTAGTGTATCACAATTTAATGAGATTAAGAGGATATGTTGCCTAAAAGGTAATAAGATCATAAGATGATAAACGCACAACAAAGCTTTAAGGTACATGGTTGGTTTCCTCTCTCAAAGTGGTCACCTGAAGCAAGCTAAATTAATAAGAAACCAGTACCTGTTATTTAGTTCATAAACTACAGACAATTATCTCAATTCAAACAGACTGATTTAAGTAAACATTAGAGCCTCATTCAGTAGGCTATTCCCAGAAATCATCTTTTTTTAGGATACACAATAACATAATCATAATACAGTTTACACAGCAGACATTCAGTCTTTAGTAAGCATCCATTATAAACACTAGATTCCTCCCCAAAGAAAGTTACTTGGATCAGAAAAGACAGTATTAGCTACCAAGAAGATTACATGGTTAGATACAGAAATGGAAAGTGACAACCTACTTAACTTGAACTATCATTCCATAAAGTTTAGCAAAAAAAAATTTGAAACCTAGAGTTTGTAGTCTTACTAAAAATGATAGGATTTCATACAATAATATAAGGGACAGAACAGCATTCCTTTCCGAAAAAAATAATGAATCCCAAAACTGATGATTCTGTTACAGAAAAATGAAGTTGTATGACAAGTACACATTGTATGTCATACTGTTGTCTTAAGAATAATGAGGACTTTATGTAAAAAAACCACCCTATTTTCATTTATACCTTTAATTAAGGTGCCCACTGCAGAAGAGGCTGTAGCCCATCTCAGGAACTGAAGGTGCACAAGTCCCTGGGACCTGTTGAGATGCATCTATGAGTCCTGAGGGAATCTCAGGCTAAACCATTATCCATCACATTTCAGAAATTGTTCCAGATCAGTGAAGTTCCCATAGATGGAAAAAGTAGAAACGTAACCCCCATTACAACAAAGGCAAGAAAAGGAAGACATGGGAAACTACAGGCCAGTCAGTCTCACCTCAGTGCCTGGCAAGATCATAGAGCAGATCCTCTTGGAAACTGTGCTAAGGGACATGGAAGACAAGGAGGGGACTGATGACAGACAACACAGTTTCACTATAGGTAAATCATGCCTAACAAATTTGGTGATTTTCCACATGGATAGAGTGTTGGTGCAGGATGGAAGAGTAACTGACATCACCCACCTAGACTTGTACAAAGCCTTTGACACTAATGTAGGACATCCTTGTCTCTGGAGATACACTGATTTCACAGATGGAACAAGTGGACAAGGAATTGGCTGTGTGGTTGCACTCTTAAGCTGCTGGTAACAACTCAATATTCAAGTGAAGACCAGCGAGGAGCACCATTCCTCAGTGGTTGCTATTGGGACAGGTGCTGGGTAACACCTTTGCTAGTGACATGGACAGTGGGACTGAGGGCACCACCAGCAAGTCTGCCAATGAGACAAAGCTGTGTGGTGCAGTGACCACGCTGAAGGGAATGGATGTCATTCCAAGGGATCTGGACACGCTTGAGAGGTGGACCTGTGCAAAATTCATGACGTTCAACAAGGAAAAGTGCAAGACCTGCACCTAGATCTGGGCAATCCCAAGCACAAGTACAGGCTGGGCAGAGAATGGAGATCAGCCCTGAGAAGGACTTGGTGGTGCTGGTAGATGAGAGGTTGGACATGAGCTGGCAACATGTGCTTGCAGCCCAGAAAGCCAATCATATCCTGGACTGCATCAAAAGCAGTGTGGCCAGCAGGGAGAGAGAGGGGATTCTGCCCCTCTACTCTGCTCTGGTGAGAGCCCACCTGGAATGCTGCATCCAGCTCTGGGGTTCCCAACATAAGAAGTACACGGAGCGAGTCCAGAGAAGGGCTATGAAGACAATCAGGGAGTGTGTCTCTCCTATGAAGACAGGTGGAGAGTCGGGGCTGCTCAGCCTGGAGAAGAGAAGGTCCCAGAAAGCACATTACAGCACCTTCCAGTACCCAAAGGGGGCCTCCATGAAAGGTGGAGAGGGACTTTTTACAAGGACAAGAGGTAGTGGCTTTATACTGAAAGAGGGCAGGTTTAGATTAGATCTTAGGAATAAATTCTTTACTGTGTAGCCACCAAGACACTGGAACAGTTTGCCCAGAGAAGCTGTGGATGCCCCATCCCTGGAAGTGATCAAGGTTGGATGGGGCTTTGAGCAACCTGGTCTAGTGCAAGGTGTTTCTGCCCACAGAAGGGGAGTTGGAACTAGATGATCCTTTCCAAGTCAGACCATTCTATGATTAAACAACAATAAACACATCTAACCAGAGATCAAGACTACTTAAGAAGTGGAAAAGTCACCCTTGTAGTCATTTACTATGTTCCTGTGTTAATATCAGACACCTAAACAAAATTCAGTTGTGTTTTTCAAATAATTACCAGTTTCATGTTCATGTTTATTTTCTTAAATAGAAGATAGGGGAATCTTCTTATTTAAGAAGGAATAAAAAACTTATTTGATTTTAAAAGTCATCGTGCCACTGTTGAAAATTTTATATTATTCAAAAGTCTATCCTGTCTAATGGAGATGAGAGCCTAGTGTCAAAAATTTAAGTCACCCTAAGCTGACATCAGCTTTCATGTCTGAAAAATATAGTAAATGCTTCCTTTATCTGAGGAGATTGAGCTCCAAAAGCTAAGTCTAGAAAGCTCAAATCCTACATTTGAGGTTCTGAAGCATGTCCAAAACAGAGTAATGAAGCTGGTGAAGAGTCTGAAACACAAGTCTTTTGAGGAGTGGCTGAGGAAGCTGAGGTTGTTTACCCTGGAGGAAAAAAAAGGCTCAGGGGAGACCTCTACAACTATCTGAAAGTTTAGGCTCTTCTCCAAAGTAACAAGCGATGAGACAAGAGAAAACAGCCTCATGTTGTGCCACAGCAAAGTTTAGACTGGGAAAATTTTCTTCACCAACAGGGTTCTCAAGCACTGGAACCCAGGGAAGTGGTTGAGTCACCATTCTGTGAGATATTTTAAAAGATCTGTAGATGTGGTGCTTAGGGATGTGTTTTAGTGATGGACTTGGCAGTCCCGGGTTAATAGTGGACTAAATGATCTTAAGGGTATTTTCCAACCTAAATGATTCTATGGTTATGCTTTATTGATAAAGCACCTTATTGCCGTCTGAAAAGTGTGAATGGTTTCTCATTTGCCATATTAACAGTCGCACTTACAGTTGAGCTGTATGTATTGTGCAACATTTTTATGACCAATTCAAAGAGCAACCTAATCAGCGATTACCATGCAGTAATAAACAACCAGTTTACACAAATTCAAAGGGCTCAAACCTGTTTTCACTAGAAAACTTCTTTATAACTGGAATAAACAAAGATTTGAGTGCTCATACCTTTTTCCAGGTAAATTTATTCATTCAATAATAACAACTTTCATCTTTATATATATTCTGTCCTTTCATTAGCTCGTTAGCATAACCTTTAAATCCTTATTAACAGTGTAAGCACTAAAAAAAATAATCAAGAAATCAGTATCATATATAAGCTACTTTATTATTTTATGATGCATTTCAAAGAGAACAGAAAACTAGCAAGATACCATTGAAAACCTATGTTGTTGCAATCTATTCACTTTACTATCTTTAATAAGTGTATCTGCTTCCTGGACACTTCACTCTGCCATGGTGTATTTCTAAATGTGAAGATGTTAAAATACAAAAAGATATACCCCATGTTTTTTTTATATATATTTAACAAAGATAACAATTCCCAAAACAACATCATGATGACTAGAGATTCAGAAAATATTATTCCCATAAACAGTATTTCCATAAGGACAAACTATATTTGCACAGTACACAAAACTTGTAGTTCTTAATGACTACAGACTGAGAAAAATTACAACTGCAAAACAAGATGGTTTATGACAAATCACAGCTGTTGATCAATTCTTGTTTCTGCACTTAAAAAGCACACATACCTTTTCCTAAGTGTGTATTTATACTCATGTATCTAGCTGTTCCTGTAAGGCTCTTGTGCTCTCGATATGGTATGTGCTTCTTTGTTTCTGGATCTACATACTCCTTTGCTAAACCAAAATCTATAATGTGAATAATTTGCTGGGTTTTGTTTCCAGGTCGTCCTATTAGGAAGTTCTCAGGTTTTACATCTCTGTATATCAAGTTCTTTGAATGGACATACTCCATACGAGAAATCTTTAATAAAAGAAAAAGGAAAAAAAAAAAAAAACAACAAACAACAAAACCAGAAAGTTTAGTTTAAGGTTCAGGTTATCACATTAAAACATTTTAGAAGCTACATATCTTACATGGAGTTTATATTTAGAAGAAATCACCTCCATCTTAAAACCAAAGGGATATTGTTCTTAACAAGATATCTTAGATATCTAAGATCAATAAAAATTGTACACTTTCCCTAAGCAGATACATCAGTAGTTTTCTTCTTTAAAAACAGGTGGTACAACTATGTTTTGTGCACACTGGAAGTAAAACCAGAAACTGTCATCAAGTAGTGAGCAGCAAAGTTTCATGTAGATCTGTTACACATTAGAGGCATAAACAAGAGAAGCACTGAAAGTTCATCACTATGCATATAATTACATTCCAGTTGGATCGCTTTCTATCAAAATTTCTGTATTCAGAAAGGAACAGAAAGTGTTAAATAAAACGGATCTTTAGATCTGTGATAACTTCAGCATTTTAAAAAAAAGACCTTGGTCATTTTGGCTGTAAATAAGCTCAATATGTCCATATGTCTGTAGCTGGAGGCCTGTTATACAATTACAGTTGTGTTTTAAACAGCTATTTTTACCCTTCATGAGTAATATTCAGGGAAGTGGAAGTTCAGTATCATTAATATTTCATAAGGACTTATTTAAAACTCGTATCATCAAGGTAAACATGCATAGATTTAATTGTCTTTCTTTGCACTTCCACCCACCCTTAGGTCAAAACCAAATAAGGAAATCTTCAAAAAAGACAATAATTCTTCATTGAATAATTTTGTACTATAATTTCTGGGAGGGTTTGAGGAATCTTTCATTTGTTCGTTTGCTTTCTTGCTTACAAGAATGCCCGGGAAAAATTTTTATGCTATTTAGGAGTCCCATAATCCAACTGCTTTTGCATGCTAGAATTATTTATATTTAATTAAAGTTTTCTTTTTAAAAGAGTATGCCAAACTAATATTCATTATTTCAGGTTGTGACCTGTGAGAACTCAGAGGATGTAATGTAATTTTATTTGTGTAATGACTCTTGAAAAACTGGAACAAAGTAAATGGAAGTAACATAAGACAGTTTACCTACTAAAACTGTATCACGTGCTCTTTAAAGACCACTGACATCAAATTAAAACACGAGAACTGCAAATCTCTTAAGTTAAATAAGCATTTAATCCATTGCAGACTAATTTAGTTATTCTAGTGAACACTCAAATTAACATCTATTCTACTTACCAACTGTATGGCTATCATAAGAACGGTTTTAAGAGAAAATGTCCTACCACACAAGTCAAACAAATCTTCCAGACTAGGTCCAAGTAGTTCTAGCACCATAGCATTATATTTGCCACATGGGCCAAAATAATAAACCTGAGGTATTCCATCTGTAAAACGAAAATACAAAGTAATTACAAGGTCTTAAATACAATTAATGAACATACCAATAAAATTCCTACTCAATTTCAAGTTGTTGTGAAGTTATAAATACATTTTTCACATAAAAGCAAAAATAAAACCTCATACAAACTACAGGTAAAAGATACAACAGGAATAATAAAGATAGTATCATTTTCATTAAATATTTTGTGACTGTTACATATTTGACTTGCGAAAGATGTAAAGATTTCATTAAAAAAAAAAATTAGAACCTCTCTGTTAGGTTTTGTAACAGTAAATTGAAACAGATTTTAAAAAGCTATGAAGAGAGGCTTAAATACGCTCTTTTACCAAAAAAACGGAAAAAAAACCCCACCAAAAACCAAAACCCACCACACATTTAAATTAAACCTTTTAAAATAAGGCTATTGACAAACTTACAGTTAGTAATAAACCCACCTTATTGTCTGCAGAAATAATTTAAAAACCCAAAAGAGATTAATGAACCAGAGAGTTCATTAACCAGAGGCAGGCAAACCAGAAGTTTGAAAATATCAACAGTTAAAGCCTTATGATCCAATTTTACTTACACCTTTTTGTACATATGCATTGTGTGACTATTTAATTAAAAATAACTTGGTATCATTGCTTCTATTCATCTTGCACTTTTCATATGCACAGGACATCTTACTCATTCAGCAAAATAAATTTTGTTTATATAAGGAACCTAGCTATTCCAGATTCTTTTTTTGCTCTTCATATCTACATATCCTCAGTGTCTCATTTATTTGAAATATTCAGTACTCTGAAAATGCATTCCTCCTTTCATGTGAGCTTTTTTACAGTATCCATTGTTACAATTACTGCACTATACAGAAGTACTAAACCTATTTTTAGAATACCTTAATGAAACACTGGATTTCACCTTCATTCTCTGTAGGTCAAATGTGAGTTTAAAAATTAAAACATCCCTAACTCTGGGTGTTTTTTGGGGTCTTTGGTTTTTCATGCCTTACTACAGTGCCACTTACACTGAGGGCACAGATTTATAATTGTTTCCACTACAGCTTTGGGGGGAAAAAAAAATAAAAAAAATACATTACTGTTTTAGCAAAACTAAAATCAAATTAATTACATGTTTTTAAGAGCATTTTCACTAATCTCTTTCCTACAAGTAAGAATATTGAAAGGAGAACCCCTAAAAATCCAGTTTAACTGTTCAGTGTTTTGAAGACCAGACCTTCAATTTATTTTCAATATGTGTAATCATACCCATCTCTATACTAATATACTTAACATGCATAATTATAGCCATTTCAGAAAGACTTGACAGGAGTAGCTTATTGCTACTAATGAAGGAGCACAGACCACATTGCATACCTCATACTGTATCAGAACACGGTACAAGATAGTGTTCTTCATTTTTTTAAAAAATCATCCCTAATGACCAGAGAGATAGCTAAAAGACTTGACCTTCTGACTAGGCAAAAAACTCCAGAACACTCCAAAATTGTGTTTAACACATTATAACTTTCTGCAAGGCACATATGGAGCATTCTGTCTAAAATTACCCATATTGACAAAATAATTTCATATTAATATTTCAAAGTACTAGAAGTTGGTGGTTTTGGTTCTTAATCAAAACAGTCTTACTGCTTTTGCTTAAAAACAATAAGCTAATATCATCCTGCTACTTGTATTATCTCTTCATGTCTCTAGATCTCCAGAAGATAAGTCAGAAAGTAACATGATACTAATAAATCGAATCTGAGGCTTTTTCCCCACTATAGAGAAATAAATAATCTCTTCTATATAAATCTTTAAGAGATATTGGTGAAGTTAGAAAAACACAGAAATTCTGATTTTTAGAAAATTAAGAATTTCCTATTTTGTTGACAGGATATTCCAATATGTATTAGCAATTAAGAAAATGTATATAATTTCCATTCTGAATTAGTCTGGTTTCAACCACTTTCCTTCCACAAGAAGGAACTACTCAAAACTTTAAGACACATCCCAGTTGTCTTGCAGTGAAATAAAAGTCATTGTTCTTACGTTTCTTGCTCAATAATTGATTATCATTCAATCCTTTCTATTACCTTGACACATCTTCTGCCTCATTCTCAAATATCCTTTATAAAAAGAAGTACCGCTTCCCATTATGTACGGAACTCAATCATTATCACACAAACATCACTAAAAGTTACAAGTAACTTCCAACTCTTCCACCAAAGAAGAAACTTACTTGTGGTCAAAAAACCAGATTCACATACTCTCACCAAATTACCTTACCACTTAAACATCTACTTCCTTTCTAGATTTAAAAATCTGAATACAGCATTCTTATTTTCAGATATGTGTCACATTTGCTTATCCCTAGATATTTACACTTGATCACAAGTAAAACACTTTCATTTGAATGATCTCAATTCATTAAAGCCATTTACAATACTTTATGTGACTGCTTTGCAATGAAATTGTAAATCCATTTTAAACCAATATGACTTTGAATCCCATTTTAACCTCATGGCAAAAATCAAGGAAGTCGTGACTTTGAAATTAACTATTTGAATATCGTTTGGTTTCCAGTTTCTTTTTCTAGAAAAGTTAACTTTCATTAGCCACCTAAAATATTGCCGCTATACAACACTGGTCTCCAAAATAAGAGACCAAATGCCCTAAAAGTGCATTACTATCCACTGGGGTGCTGGGGGGTGGGGGGAAGGAGGGAGGGAAATAGAGAGCAAATTTTGTATTTCCTTTTTTCTAAAACTAAGAAACTAAACTTTGCTAATATTACATACATGGATTCACACTGGAGCTCTCACTAAGTCAGATGGTTGTATCACAGTACACATAGGAGAAATCCTGGCAGATAAGTGGGAATGCAGAGATGGTGACAGTAGTGTACCTGTTTGTTTATTCATTTTTGGCTTACTGCAATTATGTGTGCCCCATTAGGTGGATTTATGGATTATATTGCCTAATGTTTGCTTAAGTGCTTTAGTCCACCATGTTTATGTACTTGACGTCTAGAAAGTTTTTAAAGCTGACAGATCTGATTTTCCCTATAATGATGAAAGGATAAAAACATCAGAATAAAGAAAACATTACTAGAGTAATTAGAGTTTTCTCTAAGCCAGTCAAGAAATACACTGATGTGATCTGCATTATATCTTATTGCTTAGACTTTTTGTTAAATCAGATTCATAAATGCCAGTAAAATACACAAGACTGCTCTTGCAGAACGAGGTGTTCTGTATTCAGCTTCCTATACACCACTGCCTTGTATCTGTATTTTTAATCTTCCCATGTGACAGTTCACTGGACAAAAACAAAAGACCTTAGGTAGGTGGAAGATTTGCAGTTACAGTTATCTTTCATGGTACATCCATACTGGTACTCTGGCAAGGACACAATTCAACTAACTGCCACAAACACAAGTATTCTCTACTTAGTCTACAAAATCTGGTGTGAATCCTCTCAAAGGAAGAGATTATAAAATCCAGGGTAGTGCCATATGTGCGTTTTGACTTGAACCAAAGCAGCATAGACAGAAGGGCCATACAATATCTCAAAACATAGCACTGTAATGCTCCTGAAACCATGATCATCTATGAACCATAAAACCCTAAACATGGAATGAGACACTGTATCAGCAACACGAATTCAGCACCAAAAAACTTAGACCACATTTCTTATTTGCAAAAATAAGAATATGTTTGCATAAATAAGAAATAGTAGTATAACAGTTAAATCTATTTTCAAGGAAAAATCTTCTGTAACTAAGTATTTACATTACTAAAACAGAATTACAGATGCATTTTTATTGTCATCTTTATTAAATCAAATATCCATTTATCTAACATCCACTGTTCTGTGAACTGTATCATCAAACCTCCTTTCACAATTACAGTTATCTATTGTATGCTACAAAAAACCCACAATTAATCTCTGAAATCTGTGTGATGTCACAACCCAAAACCAATATAAATTTTTGCATAGAACCAGGCTTCTTATGACCAGTAATCACTGTTTCTCAGAAATATTATCATGTGAATCTATTATGCAGTTGTCATTCTTACCAGATCTCTCGCATTTATTCTAGGGGAAAAAATTACTTTAAATATAAATTGAGAAAATTCTATACATTTCCTTAAGCCAAATGTTAGAAAAGGATTAGTATAAAACAAGAAAAACTGCCAGAAACATTTTTTATAGTTTTTGTGGGACTACACTTGAAAAATAAATTTGCTATTATCATCATCTTTCATTCACATAAACATAAATATTAGCATATTCACATTGATAATTGAGCAGCTCAAACTTTCAATTACAGGAATTGTATCAGCAGCAAACTCAAAATGGAGTCAGCTTCATCCCAAACTCACAACAAAACCATAACAGCCATCAGTACACAGATTAACAGCACTTATGAACAGATACCTCTTCAGCAAGAAATCCAATATTTGATTCAGTTTAAGCTCTCTTACAGATAAATTCTTAAATTAAGGATAGAGTATTCTTTTTTAAGATCACCTGCACTAATTTTTATTAATCAGAGATTAAAAAAACTTCAACTAACTGCTTACTGTTTATTCTTCTACATAATAATCTCAGTCAAATTAGAACAAAATAAAGTAGGACAGCTTCACTAAAAAAAAAAATAAATTAAAAACAGCTTTCAATTTAAGAGTAAAGTCTCAGTTACCTGCCTAGGCATATCTCAAAGCAAAGTTCTGAAGTTACTAATAAAATTCACTTTGTATTTATACTGCATGACAGTTAGCAAGATATATAAAAAGGTTGTGAAATGAGACATCTCAGATACACCTGTAAGAACTCATGAAATGTAATTCATATGTCAACTGAGACTATTCTGAAATTACTTGCTAACTCTGTAGCTCCCAGGTAAGATATTTTATCTTCCACTTCCATTGTTACTGATCATTACAAACATAATACATTTGGTTTAGAAATTAAACAATATTCTAAAATCTGAAGCTCC